TCTTTTTTAATAAATGAAGTGAAAACATACTTAAGCTCAATTAGCTAGCAATAAGTTTTGTGGGGCTATTGTTGATAAACGCACAGTATTTTGTATATGTGGACAAAAAATTATTCTTGATAACAATTATAATGAGTCAAGGCTTAATAAACATTCTAAAAACTCAAGATATAAAGTAAATAATAAGAAAAGGCAGCTTGACTTACCTGGACTTTTCCCAGTCTTGCCTAAACCTTCCAAAAAAAAAGAAAATTCTTCTTCTTTATCCCCACCACCAATATTGTCATCTCTATCTTTGTATCAAAATAAACCTTGCTTTGGGTTATATTCTGAACAAATTAGTTCTTACATTAATAGAACACTATTTACATATAGAGGTATACGATGACGTGATATAATTGGAAAAGAAATGTTTCAAAATAAATTTTCAAATAAAATGAAATTTAATTCCAAAAAGCTTAATGAAGAAGAAGTGATACAATTTAATCAACAAATAATAACTGAATCAGAATAGTTCATTGATCGCTTTGGTAAGTTAATTCTAGCAGGGTCAAAGCTATTAATTACTTAAATTTTAATTATTTGGTTTTATAATTTGCAGGGATGTGTATTCGATCTGTTAATTGTGAAAGAAAGACTTATGAGCAGACATGTTCATCATATTCCCTTCTTTATAATAATCTATATTTTATGAATTGTGTTAGAGCTGTCACACCTGATTCAAAAAACACTAAATATACATCAAAATTTTATTATAATAATAATCCATTACTATCTTATCTAAAAAATAATCATATTAAGCAATTGTATAGTATTCTTTTTGATAAGAATTCATTATCAAAAGAATTTTGAGCAGAATTTGCTAATAAAGCTATTTATAGCATATTTGAGCAAAAACCAGTTTTTAAAGAACTTTGCTATATCATGTTACAAGCTGCAGAATATGAAGAACAAGATAAAGGTTTACAGAACCTCAAATATTCAAATGAGTTTTTAAATTTCTTTGTAATTTTGGGAAGTATCAGTTTAAAAGCATTAGATTTATTTCATCAGAATTTGACAAATATAACTATCTGAACAGTAAGGTAATACATACCAATTATCTATTAGCAAGTCAATGTTTTTTGCAATGATAGCATAATTATATTTAAAAAATAATTTTATTAATTATAGGCATTATAGAAGCATTTCAGATGATGCTATTAATAATCCTGATCTTTGTTATGAAAATGTTGCTCATTTTAAAAGACTTTTGGATACTTTGCACTATAAAGGTCCCATTGTGGCTATGACTAATTGTATGAAAGTAAAACCCGAGTTACAGTTTTCTTCAAGTTTAGGTTGTATTGCTGGATCAACCTTAAACTAAAATGATTGTATAATTAAAACTTATAATAATATATATGATAAAGTTTCTAATATAAAGCATAAAAATACAATTGTAAAATATGTTAAAGTTTATATTCTTCAGGTAATAATTGATAATTATTTTAAATTTTATTAAAATCTTTTATTTAATTTATTTTACTCAATTATTAGGTTCTTCTTCCAAAATTTTCACCTATAATTGTGGTATCAATTTCAAATAGAAATGATAATGGTGAAAAAAATTTTGAACTTCATCAAAAGCTTATAGAAATTGCAGCAAATCTTGAACTATACATAATATCTATTAAATCAGATGGTGCTGCTACTGAATTTCAAGTACAAAATCTATTACAAGCAACTAAGACCAAATACTAAGCTCAACACCAAAATCTTCAATTTGGTATTAATTTCAACTGTTTTATATTTTCCAAAATTGGGCCTGTAATCTGTGTTTAAGATCCAAAGCATGAAAAAAAAATAGCAAGGAATGCTGCCATGTCAGGTACTCATTTGCTTACGTTTAGAAATTCTACAGTCCATTTTGATCATCTGTTAGAATTATCTCTCAAAGAAAATAGTGTTATATATAAGCGAGACGTAAGAAAGTTGGATCGTCAAGATGATAATGCTGCATATAGGGTCTTTTGTTCAAGTAATTTAGCTCAAGTATTAGATAATGAAGAGGCTTTATTATCTGAACTACGAGGTCTATTTATATATTTTTTCACTATAGGTATATTAATTTTAAGATTTTTATAATTTAGTACATTTATAGTATTAAATTAACTAGATTTTATTTACTTCAGGTGAACTTATTGATAGTTCTCTTAATCGCTGTATTACACATCAAGAAAGAGTTGAAATGGCTATAATGGTATATTTTTTTTTATACCTATAGAAATATTATATTGAAACTCTTAGCACGTCTTATTTTTCTTTTGTTTTTATTTTGAAAAACTTTTTGGCAATGCAAACTTTTAATATTATAATTAGTTTAGTTGAATCTTTGGTTCTTTTAATCAAGATTCATAGAGATTATTATGAAAATATACTTTTACTACTGTCACTAAATCTTGTGAATATATCTTTGGAGTTGCTCATTAGTTTTGATCTGATTTTATCTTCTTAGAAATTTTACAAATAGTTCTAAAAATCAGACAATATTTTAGATCTATTCAATCAGAATATTTACTATTTAGAAAAGAAAAAAAAGTATGTGAAAGTAAATATACAGTCAGACCTCCCTAAATGCAACCCCTCTAAATGCAACCCCTCTCTAAATGCACGATAGAAGATTAGCCCC